TTCAGCATAAATACGTCAATCTTTTGAAATGGAAAGCTCCAAATCACAGATTGTGAGGCTATGAGTGAATTTAAAAATTACTACTCTAAATAGCGAGACCAATTTTTCGATTCTGATTACTTCAACATTAAGGTCTCCTCCCCACGAACGAGAATAAGTGTTCATTATTTTACGCTTCCAACTAGAGCCTTATTTTGTATACCTTTGGAAGTGGTTGTTTATCATAAGATACAGTTGGTTCACTCTTTTGCACTGATATATTTTAAATCATGCACGCAGGAATGCGTTTTTCATCAAAAAATCTTGATCAGAAATTTCCAATCTGAGAAATCTCCAAGCGCACTTTTATGGTTTACTTGATCGAAAAATTGTTTACTTCTTTTCATATTTGGCATGTTCTATTTACTATACCTAAACTCACGATGACTGATAAGATGTCCACGCTCCCGAAGCATCAGCCTTAAGAATATTCCCATTGACATGACTCACGGCCATGTGTTGTTTGCCAGCTAATTTGCTTGTGTTACTGTTAAAGGCATTGACATTTGCCGTGTTGAAGTATTGGCATTTGTCACCGTCATGTATATCAAATTGATTACAAATCCGGTGTCACTGAGGGTCTTTCCGATTGTGTTCCTATCTGGAACAATTCCAGCCTGATACGTTCATCTCTTTATGACATCCAAAACTTAGGTTGAGGCTACAATTTAAAGAACAGGACAATTTTTTCGAACATATGTTCGAGCACGTTCGTATTTCAAAAACACATGTATATAGTAATTAAGTTTGGATATAATACAGTTCTTTTTTCTAGATTTTTTTTTTTTTTTTTACAATACGTATACATACATTACATATAAAATGTATGTTTACGTAAAAATGGTGTCTTTCATAAAAATTGTTCATCTGATGATGAGATTACCGAGAGAATGTGACTGTGCTAAATTTACAGAAATAGATTTTCCCACAATTTAGCATAACTTATAACAGTAGCTAAACGACCCCCCTCCCCCCACCCATATAAAGTTAACTTATTTTAACTTTTCCTGAAAATCCCGCGCGGAAGTGTTCAAGTTGGTTCAAAGGGGGACAGGCTATTTCAGCATGAAATACAGTCGTGTCTCGTTTTAACATTTCTTGAAATAACGTTTTTACGGAAACAAAGTTCCTCTATCAATTCCCCTTCAAAAACAGTCTTACGAGATACGGCTGTATGATAAATAGAATTAAAATATACAAGTTAAATCCTCTAAGTTATTAAATTTTATGCTCAAAGAAAGAGAGATTCAGCAAGGAACGCGAATCCAGACGAGACGAACAAAATGAGAAAATTCATCGATCCTCAAGTCCCACCAGCGAGCTGATTATTGAAATTGATAGACAAAGTTGCAGAAAAAGGAGACAAACGGGATATGGGAGGATCCTATTGGTGAAAGTGGATGGTTGCAATGGACAAAGGAGGTTGATAATAGGCTAACTAACGGAAACCCACGAGAGACCCTATAGTTCGTCCATCATTTTCCCCCCTTAGGCTATAAGAGCTATTCATTTCAAGTTGAAATGAGTACGGAGCGATCCCATTGGTTGAAATTTTCAACCAATGGGATTGCTCCGTACTCCCTTTGTCTATCGCTTTGTCCATCAACTTAAATAATCAATCCGCAGGAGCTCGTTGAAGCCCTATCAGGGGCGATTCTTGAAAGTTGACAACACTGTTTTCCCTCCATTTAAATGTATGTAAAACAATCGATTCTTGGCGGGGCTCCCTGCCTCGCCTAGATCGATTATTTTCAATGGATTTAAATGGAGGAAAATCAGTGTTGCCAACTTGCAAAATCGCCACTAGCCCTATCATCCAGGGAAATTCTTGACAACGTTGCTGGAAATTGACATGACTCGAGGAGGACTGTGAAGATTCGGTTCGGTTTCCAAACGGCCGGTGCCTGCGCGGCCGCGCTCAGGAAGAACGCAGTATGAGCCTTCAGACGTTGCCAAATTTCCTTCGATAAAAACTGAATTTTTTTAGGAAAATTATGAGTATTTGTTTCCAAAATTTTCCGACAATTTTCCACGCATTTGAATCTAAAATATCTGAAAACTTCGAGGCAAAATAGGAGTAATTGTCGTCGAAAATATATGTTTTATCGAGGGAAATTTGGCAACTCTCGAGTGTTCATACGGCGTTTTTCCTGAGCACGAGAGTGCGGCTCCACGACCTGAAAATCAATCAAAGACCCGCTCGGCGAGCTCCCAGTGAACAATGCTCATCTATAGGTGCCATTCATAATTATATTTATCGAATACGGCCGGGATTATTTCCATCTTCAAAGTTGCCAGATTGTGCTGAAAAATCAGCACTTTTCCCTATTTATATCCGAGTAAAGTATTCACATTTTATCGCACAATCTGACAACTTGTGATCTTATTGAGCTCTCTTCCCGTGAAAGGAACTCGAGCGCTGCATCGCCATTCCTCCTCCCAATCCGATCGCTTTGAGTTTTCTTTTGTCGTCAGCGGCTCAGGTGTAATCGAAATCGATCGGTGAAAAGTTTCACCCAATCTGATCCGGGAAATGCCGCATGTGACGCGTATGAAATGGTGTGATGCCATTACTTTAAATAACTGTGGAGGAAAGATGACACTTCGGCGTTTGGCAGCGGGGACATGGGACACTCGAAGAAAATAATACGGGGCTCGAAATTTTATAACCTATATTTTTTTTTATTTTCCGCTTGTGAGTAAAATAATATTGACTTGACGATGGAAATCTTAATAAATTATATTACGCAGAGGACTCAGACAGAAATAAACGTATGTTAGATCTAAGTGAGACACTCTTATCTCATCATAGGAGCTGTAAGGAACATAGATAAAATGTTTTTAGTTAGAATAATCATTTGTGCAAGGTATATTTACCTGGGAAATTGTGAAATTTTAAAAATACTCGGTAAAAAGAAATTAAGAGGAGGTAAAAACCGAGAAAGAAGTATAAGAAAACGTAGTTGAATGGGTAACACGAATAGGTACCCGAGGTATCGAGACTATTTGAAACTCTATGAACACTCTCTAACACTAAATTTTCATTTCTTGTCCAATAATACTTAGCAGGGAACGATCTATCGTTAAGTAAGTTTTCTTTAAATAATAGGTTATCACCAAAGTTGTTTACTGCCTATGGGCGGTTTTCTAGGGGTGCATAAATGAAGGATTAGCCGTACAGCGGCCGCGGGGGGAGGGGGGATAATACATTAAATAATGCCCTTATTCTGCTTAAATTTATGCGTATCATTGCACCTTGTAAACTTTAGCTGCCAGGCTTTACTTGCACTCATCAATCTACAAATCTCTACAGCGTTATGAATTCTCCTCTTAAATTTCTGATTGTACACAGCCGCATACATAATACCGCTGTAGCCTCCCTCCTGAAGATGCTTCGATACTTATGACTTAATTTAACCTTCAATCGTAGATCAATAAAAAACTTAGGTGCTTGCACTCCCAGTCGTTTGAGCTCTTCTTCCCATTGGCGAAACGTAAGTTACAGCGCTGAGTCACCACTTGCGGTTCCTCCACGCGCTTCAGTGAGGTTACCTAACGGCACAGTCCGACAACTTCACAATAAAACATAGTAGCGGGCGATGTACGTCATAACTTTCAACGGTGTCAGGAAGAAATTGCACGTATACGAAAGCTAATGAGGTATTTATCTATGCGTGGGATGGTCCCGGCAATTTGGGATCGGCCCTTATTCGGTCATCGAACATCATGTTTACGATTTCTAATTTGCAGAGGGCGCTCTGCTGCGTCAATTAAGACGTGAGAGATCATAGAAGCTGTCAAATGGACCGGATATCCCGTGATTGCTGCTTATTGTTTTTGTTACCTCACTGCATTTCTGCGGCCTGCCCACCGGAAGTAGAAAGCGCCGTGCAGGATCGCCAAATCCTCGCTTCTCCGTTGGTCTGCGAAAGCAAAGTTTTAAAATCCTCGACATATTTGGCCGGCTTGCTTTCAAGGCGATGTCTTTTTACGTTGAGCTTTGATTGCAGCTGTAAAAATACGGCGGAAGCTCTGTAAGATTTTTTTTTATTTATTTATTTTTTTTAAAAAGAATTTTATTTAAATATAACGTAACTACTACAAGTATTTCCTTGTATCTATCTACATGGTTTAAACTAAAACTAAACGAATTGCATTAATTTTACATGGTAACGTTAGATGATACGATGATGATCATAGAATTTAAGCACTACTGGCTAGTGAAGAATAAGTCCATGGCTCGCTCAATTTACATTCTTGGAGAGATCATCGCGATAAGAAGACTGCAACCCTTGCAATTGCGCTACCGGTAGCATGGGTAGAAATAGGGGAGGTTGCCCACCCCCAGAAAGCTACTCGGTCCTTCCTACGAAATATGAGGAAGTTGGCTAATTGTATATGCATGCGTGACGTATCTCTTCCACCTTTTAAATTGTAGTTGGATCAACTTTTTTGTGAAGACAGCTCAAAATTGCTTCTGAGACGACTCAATTTTTCAACATTTTCTGGAGAGGGGAGGGGGTCTCGGATCATACATCTTATAGCCAATACATCTCAATAGAAACTACGTGGGGGGACGCCATAAGTCAATTGTGGTGAAAAAAAATTAATTTTTTTTAAAAAAAGGTTAAACAATTTTTTAATTTTTTTCAAAACATTTAAGAAATTTTTTTAAAAAAATGTCGGTACTCACTTATGGTGATTTTTTATTTATACGAAACATGTTTTGGAGCCTAAAGTTCCATCCTCAGTCGGCAGCGAACTCAATACATCGAATACATCTCTAGCCAGAGATCAGGAGCATGGTCTACTTCCAGATTAGTCCAATGCTACTCCGATTGAGTAGAGCTAATCAGCCACGAATAGTACCCATAAAAGGTATATATTTACTTGTAAACACTTTTTTTTTCATGGACATTTCCAGGAAAAAATCTGAAAACGTAATTTTGAATTGTTCGCAGATGCTGAGAGGGTAGGGGGATGCCCGAGATTAGTCGCTCGGACTCGCAAAGATCGGACTCCTCCATTAAACCTCGAGTATCTTTCAACAGAGATGTCCACATAAAGAAAATAGGTAAGTTCTCATTAAAATTACTTGACAATATGCTTGAAAACTACCTTTAAGGTAATTGTAATCTTGGTTGTTAAACATAGTTATCAACTTTATATACATATGAACGACAAAATATACAAGGACTGAGAAAAACTCCTGGCTTCAAACGTCGAAAATACACGATGTACACAGGCATGTCATTCATTCAAGGTTTTGAGGATGAAAGTTTTGGCCTTAAGAGCCACTATGCTGGGACTATTGAACCTGGAGAAATCGAAGCTACGACCCCCAGATCCGGACTTTACGGCCTCTGAACTTAGAGCGGATGGTATATTTGCATGGCCTTGGCCTATACTTGCGGCAATTACAGTCAAAGATGTTTCTTCCTTATGTACGGAGCACGTATTATTTATATTATAAAAATACTCATATATAAATTATCAAAGCGATAATGTCTCATGGAGAAATTTAACGAAAAAACAATAGAATATTTGGTACGTATTGAAATGATACACTTTCTTACCCTTCCGTTCAAGTCTCTCAGCAGTTTCCATTTCACACTACGGTTTACTCAAACTATCCGCATGGCTTATACTTGCGGCGATTAGAGACAAAGTTGTTTCTTCCTGATGTATGGAACATGCATTCTTTATATTATAAAAATACTCATTTATAAATTATCAAAGTGATAATGTCTTATGAAGAAATTTATTGAAAATAGTGTATCGGAAAATACACTAAAACAACAGAATGTTTGGTACGCATTGAAATGATACGCTTTCTTACCCTTTCGTTCAAGTCTCTCAGCAGTTTTCATTTCACACTACGGTTTACTCAAACCTGAGGCTTAATTCATAATGTCTCAATGGACCGCCAAACAGGGTACGAAATTGAGATCCACAATACATGTTACCTTATCAAACTTTCACGTGAACTAAGATGGACACATTGATATAATCCAAATCCAATTAATCATATATAAAATAAAGGTTTTTGCCGACCTCAAATACACTCCCCCCGGAGTCTACTCCAGTCGAATAGAACAATTACCTTTCGGTACATTTTACGATCATGGAAGACGAATCATTTCTCCGTGTACTTACTTTTTTGTGAAAATATTACCTCGTATCAGAAGAGGAAAGAAATGTGTGTGAAATCAGACTCTAGTTGTTTGTCTAACGTATTGGTTGAATTTTGTGCCTAATTGAGCTGATCATGATTTTTTCGCGAGCGGGAAGTTTGAATTTACTACTTATAATGTGGACAACGAATATTTATTTATCATTTATGAGTTATTTCTGGAGGATTCATGTTATATTCAATATGTTTCGCGTGAAATTTGTGTGAAGAAACATGCGCTGTAGTGCCTCTTTCTCACCCTCTCCATTCGCAACATACTGCTCTTCCTGCAATCACCCATGCCATTTATGAGCCTTCTAAAGACAGTGCGCTCGCATCCAAGTGAGCTGCGTTACGCATAGCACGTTCCACTGGCGACGACAAAACCGGAGTCTCTGATCCATTTCTCACACGACGTGATTCGAACACCCGAACACCGTTGTCATCGACTCGCAAATAACGCTCCGGCAGGAGTCGCCGATGGGCTCGGTCAGGACCCGTGGCGTTATCGCTTTTTTGCCCCTCGTTACAGAGTGAATGTTGTGTTAGCGCGATTACAGATGTGAGTGGTGTAACTGGAGCAGGAACGTGATCGCAGCCGCATTGACGCCTTCTGTCAATGATACCGGGCTCAGTGCACTCATAGAGACGATTTATTGGCACTCTCCAACTGAGTGCAATTTCAAACGTCATATTGAGAGTCTCGTTTGAACTGTATTGAGGAGAGAGGAACTAAGTCACAATAGGTGGGGGGGGTGCGTTGGGATTATATTTATATTATACACTGAACATAAAAGTATGGTAATATCTACCATAAGTGAAAAAACAAACGAACACTAAGAAGTGGCCCGAACTTTATGTAACAAGGTGGAGAAATGGTGCTGAGCCCACACCATTTCGCAGGGAAACAAAGCCAAGAAATTCCAAAAATTCGCACCATTTCGCGGGGAAACAATGCCAAGAAATTCCAAAAATTAATTTTTGGAATTTCTTGGCTTGGTTTCCCCGCGAAATGGTGTGGACCCAGCACCATTTCTCCACCTTGTTATCTACCATAAGTCTATACTTGATTTCATGCATAAAAACACCTATAGCATAGGAAAACCAAAGGCACATATTTTGGTGCTTTTATGAGCCAGAGGTTATAGTTCCATTTTGAAAATTTAGTCCATTCGTATCTCATCTAAAACAAAAAAACCGATTTGCACATTCTGGAATAAAATTAAATAAATAGTTACACAAAAGCTCGCGTCAGTTAACATAAAATCGCGAAGTTCTGCAAAATGCATGCAATTCATATATTATGTGGTCCAAAATATAAAAATCAGCGACCACTTTGACAATATATAGAAAAAGCTTACGTCGAGTGGTAAAGTTGTAAATTTTTACTTTAAAATGATGGACATTTTGGAATTTTCTGATGAATTGTTCCTTTTTTCATACAAATGTTTAATTGTCCTTTGTCGGATGTATTTTCAAAAAACATTGACTATACTTAATTTTAAGGTACATGGAAAAAGTTTTATAAGATGTGAAGGATACTTAAACGTCGGTATAAAGGAAGGAACAAACTAAAAAATGGTTCTTAAAATTAGTTAGTGATTCATTTGAAAAAATATGGCCAATGTCTCAAGAAAATCCTCAAGGACGAGCAACACGTATTATTATTTGAGGCTATTTGTTCATTCTGCGGATTGGCGGTCGATCTCATTAGACTAACGTGCGTCGAAACAAAAGGTGGAAAATATGAAGTGGTTGATTGAATGAGGACGGACAAAGACGGGCAAAAGCGTTGGTTGATCTGTTTGCCAAACGGTGCAAAAAAATTTACTCCGATCGTCAGTGGGTTTAGGTCGATTACCTACGTGAAACTGAGCACTCACACTCACATAGCATATAATTTTGCTTTCCTCGAGGCAGAAACTGTCGGTCGATACCTAAATGATCTTGAGCGTTTGATGTGATACCAGCGCATTGCATTTAAATGCAACACAGCTCTCTACATTGTCTCATTTCCTGACATTCAATTGCCGCACCTCACTGATTGACTGATCGGATTTTAAATCGAGAATTCTTTTTCCGCTACATGGACTCAGGGTGCAAAAAATGAGGTTGTCTTTGAAATATTACATTCAAAGCTATAAAATGATGACAATTTTTTATTGAAATGTACGTCATCGTTCCTATCATTACTATGAGCTCTCTGACCCTTAAAATGTTCATATTTTGTCAAAGTTTGCTCTGCCATTTTACAGGACCGATTCCCAACAGAAGAGCCCATTTTATTCAGACCTCGGGAATATGACCTAGGTTTTCATACAATGGGACGAACTCATGGATTCTCCCAACTAAACGATGTAAATTTTCATTTTTTTGTCACAGTTCGTTCTAGAGATCTAAATCTAATCTCCTGATTTTCATGATTGTTGCTACTACCGATAGGAGATAGTCCCTAGATCAGCCCGCTCTATTTAAATTATAACTCACGGGGGCCCTCAAAGAGGGCCATAGAAGGCGCGAAGCTTCTCCTGAGGGTTGGGCCGCGTAGCGGCCCGGGGCATAGCCATCTAGTATGTAATATAAACTAAGCACTGTAAGCCAATACCAATTTGCGATGAGAGTGCTCAGTATGATACACGTTTAGTTTAAAAATTGAAAAGAAAATAGAATTTAGTTCGGTATAGCACAATGCAATATCAGCCCAAAAGAACCTCAATGCCTGCACTTCATCAACCCTTTATTGGGAAGTATTCTCTAAATTTTGCCATTATTCTAATGACAAGAATGGTTATTCTCAGGCACCTAGATTCCCATATAATAAGGAGAAAAGTCTTCGTGACACCAGCGGGCCAATTATTGAAATTGATGGACAAAGCTATAGACAAAGAAGACAAAAGAGATATAGAGGGATCCTATTGGTGGAAGCAGGTGGTTGCAATGGACAAAGAAGGTAGGTATTGGACTGTTGTAAGTAACGGCAACCAGCGAGGGATCCGATTGTTAGTCCACCATTTTCTTCCGTAGTCTATAGGAGCCACCCATTTCAACCAATAGGATAGCTCCATACTCCGTATGTCTTCTTTGTCGATTGCTTTGTCTATCAATTTCAATAATCGGCCCGCTGATGGCTCTCACCAGGGAATCTTTTTTTAGGAGGAAAGGTATATAAGTGTGGCAACATGAAATAAGATTCATGCGAACATAACGACCTACACCAGAGCCTGGTGGTTGCTGGATCTGAACTGCGATCGGTTTATCGAGAGCTGCGTAGCTGCGTGGGTGAAATTATGTTAAAAGCGAGCCGGGCTTCTGCATACTTGTTTATAATGCAAACACCCAGTTGCGTCATACGGCCCGCAGGATTTCCGTTCTTCTCCCATCAGCCATCCGCGGTCCCTTCCACCTTCGAAATTGGGTAATCGCGCCTTGGTATATTTCTTTTCGACTCCAGTTGCTGTGGCGTCGCGCCAAACTGTCACAATAAATGATCTAGAGACCCAGTTATCTATGATCCAAAGTCTGGCGCGAACGGCACGTGATTTTCTTTTCGCACGAATATCTCATACGGTTCCGCCTCTGCACATGTGCAAATAGGCAGGATGTATAAAACAATAACGAAACAGGTTTTTTTTATTTATTTGAGAGATGAAGACATATTAGAAGAACATGTATTTCGAAATGTCAGTCATCTCAAAAAATTACACTTTCTGAAAATGCACGACAAAAGCCGATAGAGAGCGCCTCGATGAGTCGAAAATTTAAATGTTCCTTGCTATCCATCTATCGCATTTTAAAACAACACTTTCGTCAAATAGGTAATCATAATTCGCACCAACTTTTTGACTTCGAAAGCTTTTTTAAAGAGGCTCGTGAGAAGCCGTTCTTGATGTGAACAAGTATAG